TCAAAAGTTTGGCACTGGTCTTTCTTCCGCTAGCCTTTCCCGAAATTTCCTGTCGAGAACGAAGCCGAAATCCCGGAAGAAGTCGACCTGGTGTGAAGCAACAGAAGTCCATCGACGCACAAAAAAAATTCGTATGCATGTAGAGAGGGCGCTAATACATTTTTCGAGAAGAAGATGATGAGAGCGGATATGAAGCCTCCCATTCTACCTTGCAATCACACCTCGTAGAATCCCGTATCCACGGAATTAGTGCTATGGGTGCAGAGCACCCTCCCCTACAAAGGAATGGTCTACATTTTAAGACTGTCGAAAATGTACTAAATATAAAATTAGTTATTTCCTTTAGAAAAGATTAAAGGGGAATCTTAAATCTTTACATTTATTTTAATCAGCATCTATTATTAGGCAGTATTTGAGCATTAAAAAGTTTCCATTAATAATTTAAAATAAGTGTAGAGTTTTGTTTGTTTAATTAAATACCGCAGTTTAAGCAAACATTATTTAGTGCTTGTTGTTTCTTCTTGTAAAGCGTATTTGACGTTTTTCTGCGGAATGCGCTATAAAGGGATTTACTAGAATTAGTATCGAAGGAACGAGTTGGAGAAAGAGCGCATCATAACCTCAACCCATTGTGAAATAGATAACTTATGGTAGGACACCATTAACAACTTAAAAGTAAATGAAGAAACTTTAATTATATGAAAGGTCATTAACTTTTACTAATATTAATTTATTAAACAGAGGTTATGACGTAGTTGTTAAGCCCATCACCCGTTAATGTATTTTTGTATCAGAGGGTTACATCTGCCCAATAACAAATTGTCATAAATGAGTTGTTAGGCGTGTAAAGGAAACTAAAATATCGTGGAAAGAAATAATTTGATACATTTATGATTCCTCTATTTTTAAATTTGATTTGCTATATGCTGCTGATGTCTAGTCCAAATTATATTTTCCTGAATCAATAAATTAATGAATACAGTTTCACTTTTTCTTTCAATTAAAATTTTCGCACTAAAAAATGTCTATGGTGAGGTATTATGAAGTTCATCGTTTGCAGAGAACCAATAGCTAATTTTTTAACTCATGATTAAAAGTATCTTGCTAACAATGCATCATCAATATAATATATGTTGAATAGCACTGTATCTTTAGTAAATTCTTAAATTAGCTACCTGTCTCAATAATGTTAAATGGAGTGGAAATTGTTAGAGTTGTATCGACAAGGTTCCTTGGTGGACATATCGATGAGAACCTTATTGGAATTCCCATATAACCAACATTCGCAAAATTATTTCGGCTAACACCGGAATGCTCTTTAGATTAAGAAGTGCTTTTCCTGATCATATTTTTAAAATTATTTATTGTAGTTTTAATTAATTTTACCACACCTTAGCTACGGCATTGTTACATGGGGTAGGCCTAACTGTGCACAGTACCAACTAAACCGTTTACATTACGAAGCGAGCAATCCGTGTTGTTTGTAGTGCTGAATTCCGTGCTTATACCGGTACTGCTCCCTTATTTAAACCTTGCTTACTCGACATTTTTCAATTGTTAAATTTTTTTACTGTGATTTTTATGTTTCATGTATATTACAGATCTGCCCCCCCCCCCCCAATGCAATAACTGCTTTCTCCATAAACAGCCAAATCCACAAGCACTCTACCAGACATGTTCATCTACCTATTGCTCGTACTGTTCTTAGAAACTATACTTTCTCTGGCCCTATGATGTGGAAAATATACTTTCTTCCACCATAAACAAAATACCCTCACTATTAATATTTCGAAACTTCACATGAAAACATCATTGCTTTAGTTAAGGTTAACAAAATTGTAGATTTTTTTTTTCTTGCTTAACGGGTCTAATTAAGCTTTGCTTTTTCTTCATTACTCTTCCCTCATATTTCGCATTTCATGGAATGAGTGAATAAATTTAATTGAATTGAAAATTACTCGACAACGTAACAATGTTGAGAGAGTAACTAATGTTAAGTCATTAACATAAATAATAAATAACAAGGGTCCTCCGAGATTAAGAACTGATCCTCTTGCGGCATCCAACACACTACTCCTCTCCGATGATTTACAATTTCTACTTGTAATCCTACATATTTGTATACGATTTAGTTAGGGCCTATTTGAAAACCAATCCAGTGGAACACATACCACAAAAAATGTTCAGCAAGTAAGACTGTTAAGATCATCAACACTTTTAAAAAGCTAGGAAATTGCTTAATTAAATCTGTTCAAAAGAGCTGTAATTTAAATTAAGTAGTGTGACGTGACTAGTGAAATGATTCTCCAAAATTCATATTGGTGGTTAAGGAATATTCAAACTTAGGCTAACTTCAATACAGGTAGATATTTACAGCTCAGTCTAGCATGCACAGTTTTGTTAGGCCCCGGGAGAAGAAATGTAAGATCAGGCCCGTAGCCAGGTTCTTCCAAGGGGGGGGGGGGGTCGGGGGAAGGGGGGGGGGGGTTCTGGGCGTGAGGCCGTCGAAGCCCCGGTGGGGTGAGGTCGGCAAACCCCCAAAGCAAGAGGATTTTTGCTTAATGGGATGCTATAAAAGCGGATATGTTTGAAAACGTCTATGTCTGGGTGGGTCTGCAGTGCATTAGTTGGGTTGGAGGACTTATTTGGGAAATTTGAAGAGGGGGTTCGCCAAAAAAGAGGAGGGTTTGCTAGAAAGGGGGGTTCTCCCGAACCATACGGGCCTGAAGATAGAAATGGTATTTAGTTTATAAGGTGTTCCAATTTAGGTTAAGTTTCACTGTTTTTACTTTAGGCTACATATTGTTCATGTTTGGTTTATGTGTAATCTATAATATAGGCTATTTAGAGTTATTCGAATAAATAATGGAGAAGATACAAATTGTTGAATAATAAACAAGAGCGACCGCTCATCAGTCCGCACATTCCTCCGCGCTTAAATACGGTACAGTCGAAAGTTACTATTAAATTATTGGGTTTTTTGGAAGAGCTAATAAGATAGAACTTTTTAAATAATTAGAATGTTTATTTGTACAAAATAAATATTATTTAGAATGTTCATTTGTACAAAATTTAAATATCTTAAAATTGAAAAAAAAAATAAATAAATAAAATTTCTTAAATTTGGGGGAAAAGATTGAATATGAAGACGCGATTCGAACTCACAACCACGTTCTTTAGAATCCTTAACTGACTGCGGCATTCATGTCCTTGCTGAAACCCCTGTTTTGTTGTGTAGGTGTAGGGGGAACCCTGGAGTCCAACTTTAAAAAAACGACGATGAACGTTTGTTAGAAATCACCTCTAGTTTATGTGTACAAAATTGCCTGCAGTCCGTTCAAAACTGGCGACGCTGGATGCTTTTAAAGTACTGTAACAAAAACAAGATGCTCTTTAGTCTAGTCGTACATTATCGTCCTAACATCATCGATCTTTTTTCCACAGATCGTTTACATCGCCAGAAACCCGAAAGACAACGCAGTGTCGTGATTATTTCGTTTCTCAAACGCAATTGCTCCTCGAGATCGTCAGCAATGTTGGGAGTGATTTCTTTATTGATATTAGTAAAGAAAAGGGTAGGCATACCGTATGTTATGTCCAAACAACGCTAGACACCAACTTTTTTGATTTCGGAAAAAAAATGTGGCTAGTTTATATGAACGTTTTAATTTTTTTTCTCTTTGTTTTTGTGATAGTGGTCACAATTTGGTATCCGACCAGTTGGTCGAAATCCAGTTTGCCGAAACACGGCTTGTCGAGTTTAGGCCATTTTGCCGAAACCCAAAGGTCCACTGATTAATGTCGAAATATTAAATCCCGACACGATGGCATGCATTTTGAGAATGTATTATACTATCTTGCCGAAACCCAGTTTGCCGAATCCAGTTCACCGAAAACATGAAATCCCAGTTGGCCGAAATCCGGTTTGCCGAATTTTGCCGTCACCGCCGTACAAAAGCGTAGCACATTAATATTTTGAAAGTGTATGCCTAATAATGGCAATTATGTAGGTTAAACCGAATGTAAACTCAGACTTAACTCATAATACATGCCAACACTCCCGTTTTGGTGACCTGACTCCCGGCAATTTTTTTATCTCACGTTTTTTCACATGCTCTCCCGGTTTATAAGGAAAATTTCATAGGCGTATTTATATATTAATTTGTCTGTTTTTTGCAGTAAAATACTACGAAACTTCAACATTTACGTTATCTTTCAATATTTTTATCGACGAGAGCATCGCCTCTCCGTGAGTGGTGCAGTTTTAAAACCGTACTAGGGCGAATAAGCGCCCCGTTTGAAGAAGCGCCCCTCAGTAATATCATAATTAAGATTTTTTTTAGCAAGTCAATAATCCGTTCGATCATGGGACTGTGGTTGTTGGCATGATTTGAGCTGCAGAGTGGAATACTATTCTTCTTAGGTCAATATCAAAATGAGGATATTTCTCTTGGACAGCAGCTCCGATCCCTGGACCGTATTTCCAACTTTTCCTCTTCTTATATTTGTCTAGGCCTAGTCCAAACTCTCTTTTTCTTTTTTCGACAATTTGCACCTTTAACACATTATAATCTTCCAGAAAACCTGCAATGATCCTGCCATCCTGCTAATCTCAATCGGCCGATGGCCAACAGAACCACTATCCACCACCACTGCATCAGTGCTATTCTACAATATGTAAATAGGCCTATTCACGGCATTCTTGTCATGAGCCATGTTCTCTGGAGGATTTTCCGCCGCGCCACCATTCATAATGTCCTTATTATAATAATTTTTCATTCAAAAAGTACCTCTTGAATTAAATAAGTTTTTCTTCCTCGGTCTCTAGGCATAGGTGACGTCAATGTAGGCCTAGTAGTACTCTTTTATTGGCGTCACACTTTTATATCATTAATATGATAGGCCTCTCTGTCTGTGGGCTTAGTAACGTTAATTAGCTGCTGACGCTCTTCGTTTTGTTGACGCGGTTTTAAGTGATTTGACGTTAATAAGGCGCATGAGGAAGGAAGCGCGACTCTTTCCCCAAGCTCCTCCTCGGCAGATCTCCCAATCCAACCGTCGCACAAACAAAACAGGTCCATAACAACACAACAAGGTGTATCAACAATCAACAAAATGGCTGTGCCAAATCATAATCCACCTCATGGAATGGAGAATTATGATTTTGGTGCATTAAGTGAAGAGCAACAAGATAAACTCAATCAATTCAAGGTAAGTAATTTTCAATGATATGTGATGTTATGTTACATACGGGGAATACATAACCTAAATACGTAGGCCTAGGCCTACTACTAGGCCTAGGCCTAGCCTAGGCCTAGGGCCTAGGCTAGGCCTACTACTACTACTAGGCTACTACTACTATCCTGGCCTGTGGGTAGCCTAGGTTAGTACTACTACTTTGGCCTGGCTGAATGAGGCAGAGGCCCACTACTGTAGCATAGGTAGGCTATGCCTAAGTAAGGCTAGCCCAGGAGGGCCTACTACTACTAGCTAGGCTAGGCTAGCCGCCAAACTAGCTACTTTATTAAAGGGACTAGCCTACGCTAGTTTGTATGTACAGGCTAGGCCCAGGGTAGGCCTAGGGCCTAGTAGGTTAAGCTACGCTAGTACTACTTTATACATTCCTAGAGAACGTCCTAGCCTAGTCCTAGTGTCCTCATGTTATCTAAAAATTCGGAGTGTCGTATCACATTAATTTTTTTTTGGAAAATGTTCTCAAAAGACTATTTTTGCTACTCTTGGCGATACCCATCGACAGTCGACACTGAATTCCGCTGACAAGTAGAAACATGCTGCAGATTTAATTGATTTGTGGGAGATGGTTATTTTCTGGGAGATTCTTGCTTGGTTACGGGATTGGGGGAGGCCATCCAGATTCCCAGGAGACTCCCGAGACTTGTGGGAGACATCAGACCCCTGTCAATAGAAGTCTCAAAGTAATGCTTCTGATAATATTTTCATCCAGATAATATGGTTTTGTTATTGCAGGTTGCTACTAGATTAGCTAATGAGAAGTACTTAAGGGAGCATCCCGAAGTGGACCTGTTGCTTGCTGCATTTCTAGGGTAAAGTTTTGTTTCATACACATTTAGTGATGTAGGTCCCTATTCAGGATTTAAAATGGTAAGCCATGATGGCCCAATAATAATCATTTGATTGATGCCTTTATTGTGTTTGTGTTAAGTAAAAGGAAAATTTGATATTAAAGAATAAAATGTTGATAGATGCAGCTCAAATTCTGTCACACAATATGAGTGCTAATGAAGCCGTGTTAGTCTAAACAATATACAAATAAAAGTAAAAGGCAGCACTCTGAGACTAACTTAGATGTTATTTATTTAACACAAGCTTTCACTGGCAGTCAATGCCAGCTTCATCAGGTGTATGAAGTAAAAAATATTTCACACAATATGCAAGATATTAATTAATCAATGGTTCTGGTGGTGGAACAAGTCTTCTCGGATAAGGACTCTAAACCGTAGGTTCAGTGTACTCAATTGACTTGTGTGCACTTTAAAGAACGCAGTACATCCTTCGAGAAGAGTAGGGAGTTCCATTTTTCAGCCCCTTGTCCGGCCATAGAAGGAGCGTTTACTTTGCGGCCCATGCCAAGAATTCATGCCATGCTACCTGCGAATCCTACCACACTATGTAAGCAAGATCATACACACTAGCTACATAGCGACTCCAGATTTATAATGGATTTATAAGGCGCAATATACAGCTGTCTCTATGCGCCTAGCGCCATTCCTACCTTCAATGTATACGGTACTGCATGAAAGAATTTCTAATAATTCTTACCTTTAATATCATATATACAAAATGTTATTACACTATGCAATTGCAAAATATTTTATTTTCCTTCAGAGATGTGTTGAGCAAACGTCCAGATCATATTCGTGACTTTGCAGCTGATTGGTTTACAAGTCCACTTCTACAGGACACCATCAAGGAACAATTGGAACAGCGGGACAAAGCATTACGAGAAGCCAGACTTAATAGAAAACTCTGAAAATTCAGTGAACAGAGAAGACTTAAACAAAATTGTTTTTAGAAAGAATTTCTGAAAGGCTTTGTCAGTGATCCAGAGATCTGCATGAAATTGTTCCCTGGTAGAGTCAGATGAAGTAGTTGTTATTATTTTTGTTTTTAAAGATAATTTTAACGTTTGAAATTGAATTGAAATATGATTGAAAAATAGTGTCGCAATTTCGCATGGTAAGATTCTTCTCAATCCTACCAACACCGTGAATTGTGCCTGCCTACCGCTGTTGCTTTTTCCAAAGTTTCTTTTATTTTAATAAATTAATATATATTACCTTGATATTATTTCACAGTTAAATTTATATTTGATACTATTTATTTTTGTGTTCACCTAATAAAAAGAATTAAGAAGCAATAGAAGTAGCATATGTTAGATTCAAATGAATAATAGAGTAGTTATGACGAATTAAATCTGGCAAAAAACCATAGAACTTTCATCAAGGTTAATGTTTGAGGGGTATGTAGTTAACCAATATTTCCCTGGCATTTCAGTCAAAACAAATGATGTGATAAAGGTTTTGAAGATGTTGTATAATGCTTTGGGCAGCACTCTTGATATAGTGGCGCTCTTTTATTGCCTACTTAAAGGCACAATGGGCATTTTGATCCATTTGCATAGTTATGCGAGACTTTATTACCAGTATACCTTGATTAGCAAACCCTCTGTTTAAAAAAAAACATTTTATTTTTGACCTGTTAGGAGACAACCGCTGCCCATGAAAATATTAAAATGTTGCCATAGGTTTTCTCACCATTTTTCTACCCTCTGAAGATATTTTGAAAAAAAAGTTGGCTAAACAAGATGTGAAAAAAATCAGGTTGGTCACTTATTCCGAATAGATATAGGTGTGTAAACAAGACCTCACTCAACAGTTGGATGTTATTGGGATCAGTGTGAATAAACAAACTGAACTGTAAATACTGACGCCCAGGTCAGCAAAAGTCTGCCAATTCAATAGTATGTCATTTAGGTAAATATAAACGTTCTGCTTTTGACAAGTCTCCACTCATCTATGTGACTAGCTGTGTAGACCAGGCACAGAACATAAGAGTACAACACCTTTATTTGGTCAACCTATTAAGGAGACGCATAATAATCAGGGGAATACATCTTTAAATGCAACTTGCGTAAAGCCCAGCATAGGGGATTACATCTTGCATTGGGATTACATTTTAAGTGTTTAAAATGGGGGAAGGGATTATTTGTCTAGGCCCCTACCTGATTAACCATTCACCATACAAGATGCAGGATTGATTTATTGTCATTGTGCATTACTGGTGTATCAGTGTTGTAAATAAATAAAGTGCTTAAAAAAGTATTGCTTGAATGTTTCTGAATCACCGACAGATTATAATTGACGATCACACACAAAACAACAATGGGTCTTTTCACATTTTATTTTATTGAATATGTATAGCATAATAAAATATCATCTATATATATAATTATATGTCTATCATTGAAATTTCATGCAAACATTTACAATTAAATACTGCCATGTTGACTCCCATTAACAACGACGCCATCTGCTGATTGTCGGTGGCAGTCTCAATGGATTGTCATTAAAAACAATCCGTTGCATACACGTCGTTGCAATGCATTCCGCGGCTGGTGAGTTCCCAACTTTAGAAACAACATCCAAGGAACGGTCTATTATTCCTTTGCACACGGCAGTCAGTTAAAGAGAAAAATTTAAACACTAGTACTGTATTCATCATATTCCATAAAATACAAGATAAATTTTCAAATTTATTGTTCACAGTTTGATTACAGTACAAAGGCATATTGTTATTTTTAAAACATTAAATTAAGGCCAAGGTAAAAAAATGTAGTTTCTCGTCCTAATATTTTGAAGAAAGGAGAATGAATGCATTTTTTTTTTTTTTACTCTAAGATGGCAAATCCAAGATGGTCGATGGGAAACAGCTACTACTTTCTCACTTTTACAAAGTAGACAAATTGAAAGCAAATAAAAGAAGCACTAGACATGATTTATACAATATGAACGATCAAAAGGAATTTTAATGTCAGTTAGCCAGATTTTCGTATATTTCGTAAAATAAAGGTGGGGGGGGGGAATTGGTGAGGCAGAGAAAATGGATGTGCGATCGGACGAGAAACTAGTATTTTTTTAAATTTATTTGACCTAATCGAGTTGGCAAAAGAGAAATAAGCAATTACTTTAGATGTCATAATCCATAGAACATGTTTTTCTCAAAACTACCAAACTGTTTATCCTCATGATTTTTGATAATAAAACAATAAAAGGATTAATAGATGTTGAAATTTTAAAAATTAACATTACAATCAGATGCGAAAGACAACTGATTTTAATTTTTCAAATTTAGATACAGAAAAATCGCAGTTTTAAAAGAAACTGTCAATTATGGATGGAATAACCACTTTCCAACCTTTATTAAAAGTTGTCAGTTGCTTACTGTTAAAAATCAGGATAGATTTATTTATTAATTACATACGTATATACGGAACAAAAATCACAAATCAGAAAATGGGCTGAAAGCCCAAAACAAGCTGTGGGTATCTTCTAAACCACTGAATATATAATTTATATGGTTGTCGTTTAAAGCAAGTTGTACAAACATACATTTTGCATACAAGTTGTAGGCCTACATGCAAACTTGTGGCTTGCAAGATATATACGCATACTCGCCACCCTCATCATAGATTTAACAGGTTTTCTCTGGAATTTTTACCAAAACCTATAAAAAAAAAAGAATACTCATGTCATCATAATACCATCAGGACATACAAGACACCAGAATTATAATATGTGCAAAGACAAGCCAAACCAGTCACTACTCGCAAAATTCAATATTTAGTTATTTTAGATAGTCAAATGAAAGTTATAAAATGGTGAAAGAACCATTTAAACCAAATATTTCATTGTGAAGTTACAGGGGTTTACATACAGTTGTTTAAATAACAGTATTTGAGAAATCAGCCTTTAAAGTTTCACCTTTAGTTAAGCATAGATAAGACCAAACAAAAAAGTAGTTAATGTTAATGTTGTTCTTTATTTATTTGTATAAATATTATGCACTATACAAATCCCACTTATTATTTTTAGTCTTTTTAAAAATGAACAGAGATAACATAAATAAATGAAGCTCATTAAATCAGATCTCCAATACTGGTTTTTCCAAACTCCTGATATTGTACTTTAGAATGTTGGTCTAACGATTCATCTAATTTTATGGCGAGTATTGTAAAAATATTGCACCAATACATTCATGCATATCCATACTAAACCCATATCCAAAAAATACAAAACTAATGACACCAATAATAGCAATGCAAAATTGGAAAATAAACCTCAGTAATTTCATTTACAGGTAATAACTGTCAAAGAGACATTTGGATTGTAGATCCAACATTTAATGATCCTTGGTCTAACAGCAACACAGATTTCTGGTTTGCAGTATGGTTTTTAAAAAAGCTGGATGGTTGAGCATAATAGATTTCTAATTTCTCACAAGCATCCAAAACGTCCAAGAATCAGAATTTGTAACATTTTCACTTTCTTGTATTTTATAAAAGAAGATATATTGAAGAACATTTCTGCAAAATACCACTAAATCTAAATGAAAAGTATATTAAAAATATTAAAAAAAATAAAAATCTTAATAATAAACTATTAATTTTTTAATCTTAGGAAGCTGTTTTCTCAAAACCTACATGGCTGATATCCAATGAATTAAATATTCATAACTTTGTTAATTTCCATCAAATAAACAGTGTTTTAAAGAAGAATGCATGCAGAATCTAAAAACACCAAAAACTCAGTTTTGAATTTTCCTACAAACGGCTGGTTTTGCTACAGCCGGTCACAACTATCTTGATGGAGTGTAGGACTCACCATGTCAGAGACAGATATGATGGTGACAAACAAGGCAGATAAACTTCAATATGCTATGGATAAGCATAACCATCCTGACTGGTAGGATTTAAGATGTTGGAGTTATATATACACTTACTTACCGTCTTTATTTCAGAGTATTCATGAATACTTTCTTCGCCCCTGAGGAAATTCAATAAAGATGAAGTTAAGATTGTAGAATGACTGCACAAAAATGTGTGTGTGTTTACAACAAAAACATTGTAATCATATTTTGGTACTACATGTTTTTACAGAATTATCAGACTCAATTTTATATTTAAGCCATTTTTATACTTTTAGCATTTAAAAGTAGGTTTGTAATGTCAATGTACCCTCAGGACTACGAAAATAAAAAATAAAGAACTGAGAAAATATTGATGCATCTTTAGCCTATTCCGGTCCCACGGTCACAATCGTGGGAAGTTGAACGATGTAAGGCCAACTCAGACAGCATCGGCCGATGCAGCCCGACCCGATTTATCGTCGGGGACAGTCTTAAGCCGTCGTGAGAAATATTAAACATGTTTAATATTCTACTACGCGACTGCCCCCGATGCACACCATCGCGTCTGCGTTTAACTCACAAAGACCCGACGCGACAACAAATCGCGTCGGGCTGCGTCGTACGACGCTGTCTGAGTTTGCCTTAACAAAACTACATCGTGCAGGTGAGTCATACCTACCTGCTCACATGTCTGAACATCGCGATTTTTGTGAATCGAAACCTACCCCAGTGCTTTGAATAACAAAAGCAGAAAACATAGGGTCTGGTTCACACAACCAGCAGACTTAAGTTCACAAAATATTTTCATCTATAAAATTTAACAAGCATCAGTTTCATGTTTAATTTCAACAGGAAATGATATCTGTAACTATCCTCCATAACAACTCAACATGTAGTGTCATGTGAGAGGCATGTGTTCAAAACAAAAATTTCAATTTTTTAAAACCAGGTTACGCACCACCGACTTTTGGCCATCGCTTCAACATGTAGTGAGAGTAAACCGATTCACATAATTGGCATAAGTAAATCCTGTTGAAATAAACATTTTCTTTGCTCTACCCATAGTCTCTTTATTACTTTTAAGTCAATATGCATATTTATTATATTATAATTAATATAATTATCAGTATTATTTAAGATATTTATTAGTCATTCAATGAACACATTTTCATTGTGTCTAAGCCTCTGCTAGTATTCTGTGAATGCTATCTGTTGGGCTAAATTTAGCTAAGTGTAGATCTAGGTCCCTAGCCTAGGATGGAATGGTAGTAGTGTAGAGCCTTCTTTCGTGTTCAAGCTGTTTTTTCGGTCTCAAATTTTTTATGTAAACATTTACTCACGAGTATAAGTCGACCACTCAATTTTGCGACTTATAATTATCCGGAAAATACAGTATACTGGAAATGCTCAAACATAGGTGGTTATGTGTCGTCGCTAGTACTACACTGTAAATGGCGACTGACCGAAAACGGAAGACCTGGGTGACCTTATTCATGAGAAATTTTTGTATATCACCCCAAACAATCATGTTTAGCAAATATTTGGTTGGTTTTATCGCCTACATCTTTATTATTCATAAAAAATGCAAGATATTACCAGTGGTTCAACTTCACATCAGATAGCACCTACATGCAAAATTATAGCATTCTGCAAGTCATTTTACTACTAGTTCATGTGTTTACAATGTCAATGTGACCTCTGTGACCTCACTTTTTTGATGCCGATGATGCCTAGGTTTATATTGTTGTTAACAATATAGATAAAAATGAACTTACAGTTCTCGACCAGTTCCAGACATCTTGTAACCTCCAAATGGACTGGCTACATCCAAAGCATGGTACTGGTTAACCCTGAAACAGAGAAAGTTTTTAGAACTTAAAAAAGTATACAATCTTACAGGGAATTTAAAACATTGAATAGCTCATTTAAAAGAACTGTCAATTTAATATATACACAAAAAAAAAAAATAATAATACTAATATTAAAATCTTTTACAACTGAAGCTCCTTCCAAAAGACTGTACTGTATCTGTTTTTTTTCTTTTTTTTTTCTGTGGTCTCATCAAGATTGTTCCACAAGTCATTACCACAATATACCAAACTCTTAGTATCATTTTTGTGATTTACACAACTTTTACTGCAAAAACACTTGGGTATCAGGAAAATTTAGGAAACTGAAGATTATTTAAAATGGCTGTTAACTGTTAAGTGAACATTTTTGTCATTTTAATTTTCAATTGGAATCTAATATCTTATATAAATATACAACGCAAGCAATTCAAATATTTAATTTTTAATAATAATAATTAATAATATGTAACTCAACACAGAATGAATACAAACTTGTCTCATTGTGATGCTTAAGAAGCACACTGGTGTTATTTTCATGAGTAAAATTCCTGGAAGGACCCAAAAATGTTAGAATTAAGGCAAGTGCAGGGCTGGAAAAAGTGCCAATAGCCATTGCCACTAATATCCCCAACATTTAAATCATCTTTATCCCCAGAATACACTTACCAGACCGTGCCTGCCTGGAGACGGTTTGACACCATGATGGCTTTGTTTACATCATTAGTAAACACGGCTGCAGCAAGCCCATACAGAGTCCGGTTTGCCCTATCAACTACCTCATCCATGTCCTTAAATTTGATGATTTGTTGAACGGGTCCAAAGATCTGATAAGACACCGTAAGAGTATGTTTAGATTCATTTATTGGGTTTTTTTCGATTGTTAATATTTATTGCTTTCTATTTCATAATACAAAATTTTACAATGACAAAAATAAATGTCTTATTGTAACTACAACATTAAAATAAACTACAATATTTTGATTTAAAAAAAAAACATTCACGACACACGTTCATCAACTATAAAAAATATTTTGTAAATAATGGGAAGTAGGGGATAGCTCTAAAGCCCATGGGATTGCTTTCATAGAGGTTCCTAAATATACCTATAGAGCACCGGCAACATAATTTTAAAAATTTTATAATTTTTGTTTAAATAATATTATATGAAGCAATGGTATGTTGTACCTCTTCACGAGCAATGCGCATTTCATCGGTGACGCCTGAGAATACGGTAGGCTGGATGAAGTAGCCCTTGTCGCCTTTACGACCACCCCCACATTCTAGCTTGGCACCTTCCTTCTTTCCACTTTCAATCATTTCCAAGATCTTTTCAAATTGTTCTTTATCCACCTATAAGTACAAAATATAGGAATTATTATTGCTTATATGATGTGAGGTGCAAAGAGCAGTGTTGGCATTAGTAATTAGCAAAATTTTTACTATCAGTGGCATATTTAAGGTTTTTCAAAAGAGGGGGAAGTGCTTAATGGAAATAATACATCCACGAAACTTTAGGCACGGTGCAAAACTAGGGACGGAGCATATTGAGGGCTTTGAAGACACAGTAAACTGGTTGTTAACGTCTGTAACTGACTTTGCCAATAACTTCCATTAAGTTACTATGCTCATAAAGGGGTTATGAGCATGCTAAACCCCTAAATCTAAATCTACAGTATGTAGATACTCATAAACGCCTGTTCAGCATCTGGATGTGGGCAGGGGCTTGAGATGAACCATTACACCGGGGTAACCCCCTACTCGTCTCGAAAGATGTACTGGGTTCTTTATAGTGCACATGAGCCATTGTTTACACTGGGCCTATGGTTTATAGTCCTTATCCGAGAAGACTTGCTCCACCTCCAGAGCCATAAGCGAGTGTGCCGTTCGAACCATAGCAGATATTATGGCTGTAGGTTACGGCCCTGCCTTAACCACTCGGCCATTTAACTCCCCCTTTGGGTATGATAGCTAGTGCAACATACAACGTCCTTAGGTTAGTGTTTTTGGTAGAAATTGATATTCTTCTACACTAGCGGCTATCTTTTTACCGTAATTGAAGGATTTGCTCCTATAGAGTACTACATTGGTACGTCATGATACCATGTGATACTATTCCGTTGCTATCAGCGACCCAAAATGTGGTCAACAGGATCCATTTTCTCCACTGACAAACCATTGACCAAATTTCTAATGTGATTATTATGATGCTGTAATTTTTCTATGTAAATTTTAATTGATGATTAAATATGTGTTCGAACTAATATACTGTGATCTTTTGTGTTTTTAGTACATTTTAATGGTATCTGTATATTATTAGGTTTTAAAAAATGCCTATCTCTATTCTAAACCATGAAGATTATAAAGTCATTCAGGCATAATGACCGCTTTACCAACGTCTGGTTGACACTTGCGTTATATAGCTTAGCCTCTATGATATTATGCTCTTCCTTTTTTTTGTGTAGAATTTGCACTTTTTTATTTAAGTTATCTGTTCTTAAGTTATTTAAATTTATTTTGAAATTTAAAGAGTAACAATAACCACTAATAATAATAATAATAATGGTTACACATCACATGAATTTTTAATTTTACATATAAAAAACAATTAAAAAAAAACATGAACTACAACTCTGGGATGACTACCTGTGGGCCTGATTGTGAGCTATCATCAAAAGGATCTCCTACTTTGCGGTTCTTGGCCAATTCTGTTGCCTTCTTAACAAATTCATCATACATCTCTTCCTGTACGAAAGTCCTTGATCCAGCGGTGCACACTTGCCCCATGTTAAAGAACAAAGCTTCATGGGCCCAGTTGACTGCCACATCCACTAATGGAGAAAACCAGATTAATTAGATGTATGATAGTTAATTTATTTATATCTAGTTACATATACATGATTTTAATTTATTCATAACTAATTAGATATCCATGGTTTTTATTTCTAGCTGATTTATTGGATAAATTTTAACTGATTAGAGAATAATTTTTTTAATTTCTGATAAATTATGGTTTGAATACAGGTCAGTTAACTGATTTACTACCTGTGAGAATTTAAACTTAGTTCCTAAGACCAAGGATACTAGAAACACAAGATAGAATTCTCCGCAGAAAAAAACTGTTCCACCAAAATGTATGGTGGGAATACAAACAATGGGGCGCCACGTACGACTGGATCAAAAAAACTTCTGCCAAACTTATGTCACGCTGAATACATAACCTTATTTTATGGAGGTAGAAAGTGTTGCCATTATCCATACAAACAAGTAGGCATAAATAAATCAAAAGAATAAAATGACGACACAAACATGCAGAATTGTACGACCGGACTCTGGTTAATGATAAAGTTTCCATCATTAGCGGAAAGAGGGGCACCGCATATGTATGGATTTACTTAGCAACAGAAGGGTACCCTGTACGTCTATGGACCAGGTATAGATAAACATATAAATAAAAGAGAAGGGCACGTGTACGTCTGAACCAACATAAAAGATGTGATGTATTTCGGCCTCATTTTTGCTATGTGAGAGTTCTATCGTGTTTGACTGGAATGTAAGCATCTTAACCACCAACCTACAGCTTTCACTCTAGTGGATAATGATAATATTGTTAATAAAGACGATGATGAAATTGATGGTGATGATTTTAATAATGATGAAAAAGATAATGATTATGATGGTAATGAATAATGATAATAATTATAATGATGACTGATGTTGAGTATAGCCATCAATATTATATTAATGTTGACATCAAAATATCTTCAAACATTAAAATGATTACAATATAAGAAGTGAAGCCACTTACCATCACTGTCAGCAAGTACAATAAGGGGGCTCTTTCCCCCTAACTCTAGTGTCACTCGTTTTAAGTTGCTTTTCCCTGCAGCTTGTTGTATAAGTTTACCTACCTGAGACACAAAAGCAAAACAATAATAATAATAATAATAATAATAATAATAATAATAATAATAATAATAATAATATGTGCAAAAAAAAAAATGTCATTCGGGAAATCACATCCTGAATGATGTCATCAGCAAACTCTGCCCACTAATTACATAAGCCTTGGGACAAAATTATCCAGGACCCGGAGAAATGCAAGTCACTGTCATGATTGAAAAGTCTCTCTCAGTGTTATTTGTTGTATATTTTTATATGTATTGTGATGGATCGAAAAGTTTTCCGCTATATCTTTTTTTTATCGTTATTGGTGGCACATTGCATTGCTATTGCATTTGTTTTATTTGTATTTGCGTGTACGTTTGCATACCAGGTGAAGAATATAATGCATTGGCTGCATGAGCATTGTATCTGCAGAAGGCATTTGGTTCACGTCGGAGTAAGACGATGTTTTTTCGTTAAGATGAATCTTTTTCGATACTTTCGATACTTTTCGTCCTGTGGTGATGAGTGGTATTAGATCAGTGTTTGCTATGCCATGAAGTTAGTTCTATGAATTTGGTGTTACTGATCCAGGTATTGAGCTCGTTACTCTAATAATTATGTTATTCCATATATATACCATAATGTAATACAGTAGTGTAATGACATTCAAGTGACAATGTTATGAGTGCATTTGAATTGTGAATGCTTATGTTATAATTAATTAGTTAATTGTTGCAATTGTTAATTATTGTGATAATGATATATTTATTGAATATACTATTATATATTATAGGGTTTTTTGTTAGAAATGGTGAATACCTGTGTTACTGTGTACATCTGCATTACTGTGTATACCTGTGTTACTGTGTACATCAGAATAAAAGAAAAGATAATAATTGCAGTCTGTCTCAAAACGTATTTTGTTCTTCTGAATGGGTATTTGGTTTCATCCACCAAACCTCAGTGGTCGAATCCGGACTAAATCAATACTGAGGCCTCCCGAACCACGACAGTATTACTTCTTTGACTAATAGCTTGATCTATTTTGCTAGTCTCCAATGGCAAGTTAAAATGAATGTTATTTTATCTACCTCAGTTGAACCAGTGAAGGCAACTTTGTCAATGTCCATGTGCTCAGAAATAGCAGCTCCTGCTGTAGGACCATAACCTGGGATGATGTTGACAACACCTGGCGGGAAGCCAGCCTGAAACAAATTATCGGAAAAGATCGTTGACAAATGCAATTGGATCAAAATCTATATTTATAATAATGGATGGATTTATTTGGTGTGAGCACCAAGGATATCCCATATAAGTCTGAACAAGACTTATTTCCCAGTGGGGTTCTTCTGGTGGTGATTGGGCAGTACACCAGGAGAACATCCGAATAGTATACTGCGTTCTTTAACGTGCACACTGGCTATAATGCACACAGGACCTATGTCTTAACGTCTCGTCCGAAAGATGGTGCACTATCATAACTTTCATTTCAGCCATCCAGTTGAAACACAAGGAGAGGATGGGAATTGAACTGGGAACATAGTGATCTCTACGGTTCAGCACACACACACACACACACAGTGGCTACCACCAGTTTAGCCGACTGAGCTAAGCTACTCTCTATAATAATTGTGAAATTATATAGTGCATAATGTAAATACCTCTATACGCTTTACAGCCAGAATTGAAATAAATTATTAACGATTCACATAATAAAAAAATATTATTAGATTCTTTAATTAATTTAATAAACTAATATTTTCTTTGTTTTTATTACCTTTCTTTTCCTTTTCTTTTCATTTAATACGATACAATTACATATTTTGGCAAAGAAACTTGAAGCTATGAATGTTCCTTCTTCTTTTATTATGTTTATTGTTAACTACCTTACGAATAGGCAACAAATTGTAAAAATCGGTCAAATCATATCTTATTTTAAATACACGTCAGTTCTTGCACCTTTTCTATTTTCATTGTATACAACGGATTTCAGAACTAATTCTAATTGTCCTACAATAAAATATGCAGATGACACGGCTGTTATAGGTTTAATTAAAAATGATAATATTGAACTTTATAACTCAGAGATTCAACATTTTGTATCATATTTTGACAATAATTTCTTGGAGTTAAACACAGATAAGATAAAAGAAATCGATATCAGAAAAAATATTTCTATAAATGATTGTATTACTATTAATAATTCATGTATTGAACAGGTTGAACAATTTAAGTATTTGGGAATTATCTTGATAATAGGCTCACTTGGAACTATTACATAGACTATTTGGTTAAGAAACTGAATGTTCGAATGTTCTGTTATAAGGTAGTTAAACTCTTTTAATATTTGTGAGAATATTTTGAGATCCTTTTTTAATTTTGTTGTTTTGGGGGTCTTGAACTATTGTCTTATTTGCTGGGGTGGAAACATTTCGGGAGGGGATTGGGAAACGTTGCATAAGTTTATCCGTAAAGCTGAAGGGTTGATTGGTTCGCTTTTGCGACCGGTACACTCTGTCTACTACGAGCGGCTGGCTATCGGGTTGGGGGGGGGGGTGCTGAATGGTATGTCATCCCCTCCATCCAGTGGTTGTCGGAAGCATTATAGAACGAAGTGGTAGACTGAGGTTACCGGTCGCCAACACCAACGTCACCCTCTAGTTATTCCTAGAGGAATTAATCTGTATAATGAAACATTTTCGAGATAACCAGTACAGGCTATGTAATTTCCAGCAAAGGATTAAATAAAGAGTATGTCTATGTCTTCCTTTAATTCCTTTTTCCTGTCTACCCTTTCTTTTACTTCCCTATAATTTCTTTTTTCCTCTTTATTTTATCTATTTCCTATTTCTTTTCATTTCTTTCCTTTCTTGTTCTTTCTTTTTCTTTTCCTGCCTTTCATTTTCCTTTCTTTTCATTTCACATTTCTTATTCCTTCTTCTCCCTTTCTTTACCTTTTCGTTTTCTCCAGTACATCTCAAAATTTAATGCTGACAAAAATCATTTTAGCTTTGTTTTAGGGCATCCTGAAAAAAAAGCTTTTCTGCAAAACCTACCTCTTTAACTAAAGAGCCTATGTATATGGCTGTGAGTGGCGTTTGTTCAGCTGGTTTCACAATAATAGCATTCCCACAACAAAGAGCAGGAGCAATTTTCCATCCAAGCATACCCAATGGGAAGTTCCATGGAATGATTGCTCCACAGACACCGACTGGTTCACGGCGAGTATAGCAGAAGACATCGCCATCTTTGAGAAAAAATGCAGAGTTATATCAGACTCGGTTGATTCCATCTTTCTTGATTTCTTTTTTGAATTTACTTTTCTACATGTTTTATGTTGTATCTGGACCTCTTGGGAGACCAGTATTTATGTATTACTTGCTTACTTTTTTACTTACTTTCCTAGTTACGAGATTGAAGAAAGATTTCATTTGATAATGATTCAAACAGGCCTAATTGTTCCATTTAGACATGTCAAATGAGACATATCCCAACACTATTATAAGACTTACTCCTATCCTTACCTACTGGTATGGTCTTTCCAGTAATCTTATCACACCAACCAGCATAATAACGCAGCACACGAATGATTGCTGGGACATCACCAACTCGACTAGCACTCAACGGTTTTCCATTGTCAAGAGTCTCCAACCTCTACCAACATAGAAAAAAAGATAAATTTGTGTTTAACAACATTGATTATATTTTGCATTTCATTATTTTTAAGCTTGTGAATTTTAAGATCAATGGTGTATTTATGCTTTGCATTTCAAAGAAAACTGTATTTATCAATACCGGTAATATGTAAGTTTAGACAAATTTGTACATACTACAGTTTTGATTGAAGAAACCAGTTTGGCTTTGGATTCAAATGCAAACTAAAACATCCATCTGCTCCATGTTTGACATATGTATTTTATTATTTTTTGTTTGACAATGATAGAGTCTACCCAAAACATTCTTTAAGTTAATCAAGGCCCCATTCCCAGCAAAATTTCACAAAAAAAGCATTTTCATTAGCATATGCATTAGTTTAACTATTACAAACCAGGTCATTTAATGGCATAAATTTTAGTTTTATGCTACAGGAGAAAAAACTATAAGAAATAGAGCACCATTTTCTCAACAAATTCGAAAATAGGCATATTCAGAGGTTGTACATCACATCAAGTGAAATACTTTCGCTAGTTGCTTTTTATGTATACTTTTTATGTATACTATAACTGTTTCTCGAACCCGTCGCATTCTGTATTTTTAATATCGCCCACCAGTGCCATAAACTCTCATAAGATATTTTAATTCATGTGTTATGTATAATTGCAGATACAATAGATAAAGTGCACCCTCTCTAATTATTTTATGTACTTTGAACTTTGCAATATTTTAATCAATCGAGTAGGCCTGAGATTATGTTTGTTAAATTGTATACTTTATAAAAAATGAAATTTTGGCAGGATGGTCTTTAAGATAGATGCAAACTAAAGGTAATGAAAAGAAAGAAGTGAAATCTAGAAGGGAAAATAAATCCAACAGGCTGGAACTAACAGCTAGATATTCAGTATCCCTCTCGATGAGATCTGCCAATTTATATATCAGTTTGCCTCGTTTTGATGCATCCATCCGTCGCCATGGTGACCCAACTTTCATCACCTCACGTGCAACTACTACAGCTTTGTCTACATCTGCCTAAAAGTAAAATTGAGAAAAAAAAAACCAAAAATACAAATATTTTTTGGTGAATGATAGATAGCCAACTTAGGATTAACAGCATTTTGATTTTTGATTGTTATATGTTATCGTATAATATAGTAGTTGTTATGACATATTTAGTTGTGAGTTTTAACAACATATTGGCTTAATCTGTTTAAGCTATGTTGCATAAAAGAAAACCTCACCAGCAAACAAGTTGTGAAACAAAGCTTTTATTTATTATAGTTACTACTATTTCTACCTCTGCCAAAAGAGTGTTATGTATAATACCGCAATATGTCTGTCTATCGGGCTGTTAGCAAGATTATGCAAAACACTAATAAATGCATCATCATGAAATTTAGTGGAATGGTACGAAGAAATAGATGATTAAATTTTGAGAAAGGGTCAAGGGGCAAGCTGAAGGTCACAGAAATTTATTTATTTTTTTATTCTGAGCACAAAAGAAATAAATATAATCGCCTCTCACACACGGCCTGCTTAGTCTCTTCGGTATTCAGGCACACGGCAGATGTATGCATTTGCTCTAGTTAATATTATTATTGTTGTCAATATTATTATATTGTCATCGTCATTGTAACTGTTGTAGATGTCGTCATTATTGTCTTTGTGATCACTGTCATCATCATGGATGCAAGGACCTTACTTTGTCGCCTTCCTGAACGTCGCAGATCTTCTCTCCATTTGTTGGATTGATGGTAGGAAATGTCTTTCCACTCACAGAGTTGACATACTCATTGTTGATAAACAACTGAAAAAGAAAGGAATACATGTTTATTATCTTTGAAGTGAAGTTATGGCTTGTTAGTTAAGATGCTCACCTTTCAATTCTGGACAAGATCTAGGTTCCACATTACTCAGAAAATATCTGGAGTCGAAAATGCCAAAGCCTGGTTTTCTTAAAATCGCTACACTTCCGCTACAGTGTTTTCAGTACAATAGTTGTACTGCGTAGCACTCCTCGGTGCAATCGGGAAGGCTCCCGATTCGACCTACCAATCGGTATCACCGAAAGTTGTCAGCAATTGTATGGAAACCAAGCTTAGAGCGAGTCTACGCACAATACTAACGCATATCAAGCTATCTTCACATTTCCTTAGGATAAACAATTGTAAAATTTATATACTGACGCATGACCACCTTTATAAGACAGGTCAACAAAACTTATACCTTATGAGAAAATTGAACGGATTAAAAGTCAACAATGAAGTGTTTAACATGTTTTTTAGGTCCATGATACCTAGTGTTATCTCATTCTCCAGTATTATTTGGAGCAGCACCCTCACAGTCAAGGACTTAAATAAATTAAAGAGAATTAATTGGGCTTGGAAAATAATGAACATAATGATCTTGAAGTTGAGTTCTATTCTAGTCCTTGTCAAAAAAGTAATGTTAGACGAGAATCACTCACCATCTTCACAATATAATTATCTGCAATCCGGTGTATGTCTATAATCAATTAACACCAGAGTTCAAAAAATTCAAAATTCAAAATCTTTTATTGTCCAAATTATATAAAACACACAATTGGAAATTTGTTGTTTGATACACTACGTAAAATAGAAAAAAAGTTAATAATAAAAAGTCAACACACAGAAAATACAAAAGGTTGAACACACAATAAAACAAAATTGCAATAAAAGAATCATATTCAATATAACAAGTTAAAATGTCATAAAAATTTGAAAACCATTAAAAAAATTAAAACCTACATTTAAAACATTGTAAAAATAGATTTTTTTTAAATAAAAAATTTAGAATCACTTGAGTTTAAGACACCATCAAATAAAAAACAGTTAAAAATTGTAAAATTTTAGAAACTTTAAAATTTTAGTTGAAAGATGTATCTATGTTTAATAGCAAAGCCCATAGATAAACACAGTACATTTTACCCAGTTTTAAATATTTTTACATTAGGATCTCTTAATAATTTTAACTATGATTCCTAATGTCTTTTTAAATCTGAATATTTTAACGTATTGTATATACCTGTATATTGTGATTTTCTTAATATTTTAATATATTCTAAATTGTACTTGTCAATGTGTGTATTTAACAAAAAAATTCCTATTTATATATATTTATATTTTTAATGGATGAGTCAATAAATGAATCTTGAACCTTAAGCAATATTAAGGGCAGTGCGGCAACTTGCTTGCTTGTGAAAATATACAAACAAGTATGTCTGCCATCAGTATTATTATTATTATTAACTGGTTTTAGGCAAAAGGCCAAGGATTGCCGAACAGTGCAGGCACGGATCCAGTGGGGGGAGGGGGGCCGTGCCCCATATCCCCCCTCCCCGTCAGATAATCTCTTGATCCGCCCCTGCAGTGAACTCAGTCACTTTCAAAGTGGCGTATCCCTTCACAAGACAAACATAAAAAACAAGATGCTCTACATAAACTAAGTCTCATTAGGATGCTTAGGGAGTGGAGTTGCTCTGGTCATGAGAAAAACTGTAACAGGAATTGAACCCAGGACTGCCATCAGTACAATGACATTTGACAACAAGTTTTGTCTCATACATGGCTTTCAGTCTTCTCTAATTTAAAGCTGGATTTAAGCAAGATTTAAGCAAATAGTTGTGCTATGGTACTATTAATAAACATGACTTTAGATAAATCATATATTTAGAGTTATGTCAATTTTGTTTTTGCTAAAAAAGTTTTATAAATCTGATCCAGCATTATTTCTCAACAATAATCAACTCCACTCCAAAAGCAAACAACTGTATACCCTTTCTTGGCACTAGAGAATGAAGAGGCTATAAAATATCACATGTTACTTTTATGTATAAATATTAATGTTCTTGAAAATGTCTAAATCAAATATGAACTCAACATTATCAGGTCAGTTGGTATGATTATGACAAAGGAAGTAAGCATGGGTGAAGAAAGGACGGAACTGGCAGAGGAAAAGAATTCTGTTAAAGTTCATTTTATGATATATTTCAACTGTATAGATGTCTCACACAACTTTTTTCATAACCAAAATGATTACTTTCACCATCTAACCATGGTGTACGACAAACATTTCTATTGATTATGGCTAGGAGGGAGTAAACAAAGTGGACAAATTATCAGACGCTGGTGACACATTAACTTGTCAAAGGGCAAGACACAATTGATTTAATGATTGACTTAGACAGGGCAAGACCAATAGGGATAAATCATGAATCAGCAAAAAAAAATCCATCAAATAATCCCTTCTGGAAAGGTATAGGCCTATACATGAAATGAAAGAAGAAAAAAACTTTTACTGGTGAATTTTGTCTATGTCTATATAGGCATAGACATCCTAATCTTGAAAACATGTAGGCCAATATTCCCTGCACTAAGTTTAAATTTTATAGTTTCTTGACAAAAAGAAAATTAAAATTAATATCCTGGAGCCCGTAAGGTCCGGGACACCTGCCTTTAGCTGGTATGAGGTCATGGGTGTCACACCACTGAATGACCACATTTCAAATAACGTACTTAAACACACAACACAGATAAGATAAACAATCAACTATGACTTGACAGAATTAAAGTAGATGAGTAAGTAAAATCTTTGCCGAGCCACTAGGGCCCATAGGGCTGGAGCTTATCCCCAGCTTCAAGAAGCGTGAAACGGATGAGAGTGTGATGCTCCCCCGGGGTGGGACAACAGTCGTCCGCAGGTTACTCCCAGCATTTTGCTGTAACCCATTGACAGAACTGGGTATAGACTGAAGCAATGTAAAGTGCCTTACTCAAGGACACATGTGAAAAGCATAGCACTGAAGGATTGAAACCTCGACCTCAAGCTTGGAAAACCAAACCGTTTTCACTGCGCCAAACCACCTCTAGAGATGAGATGAGTAATGGAGATATCATTATACCATTACCCTTATAACAAACTGTAAAATTTATATTTCAACCAACCTTATTGGTTAAAAAGGAAAATTTTCCTAATTTTTGCATTAGATAGTAAGGTTGATTACTGTTTTAAGATTTCTTTGATATTAAATCATTTCATTACGATAACATTCAACGTAAAAACAGTAAAATCAGCTGAAATTGCCTTGCCCTCTTTTTAAGACAAATCCCTCTACAGTCCAAAGTAGTTGGTCGAGTCTATTCGAAAGCATCATTTATCTTCTAACTCAAAATCAAACATGAATTTGATTGGAGCGGGCCAAATGGCCAAGCGGTTAAGCAGGGGCACCGTGATCATAGCCAACAATATTGGCACGGGTTCGCGGCCGGCTCGCTCCTATAGTTCTGGTGGTGGAACAAGTCTTCTCGGATAAGGACTATAAACCATAGGCCCAGTGTACACAAATGCTCATGTGCACTTTAAAGAACCCAGTACATCTTTCGGGATGAGTAGGGGGTTACCCCGGTGTACTGGTTCATTCGGCCCCTGTCATGGACAGATGAAAGTGCGCCGGTTTACTGGCTGCTAAAGACATGAAGTGACCCTTAGGGGAGGAGAAAGTTATTGTAAAGTGCAACATCTAGTCCCGAGCACATAGAGACCATGTAGTATGCGCTATATAAGTCTCCAACCATTACCATTACCATTGGATCAGTAGTTTAATGCCTAAAGTAACCAGTAACTGTACTTTTGTACCTATAATCTCACTCAGATAATGGATGTCAAGTTGTAGCTAACTTAGTAGTGCCTGATAACATTTGCTTTAGTGCATGCATATATTTTTGCAAAACTTTTCTATGGAAAGAATGCCCGTAATTTTAACATTAGATAAGATTAAGGGGTTGGATTTAAATACTTAATACAGTATTCCCTTCCTAAATTCCAATCATCCACACCTCGGATTTGCGTAATATCGTCGAAAGCCACGGTCATGTATTATACCCTTCAAGAAAATGAAGTGCATGAGGCGCGTCAAGGGGTGCGTGGGGGTCCAGCGGGTAACAGAGGTCATAATAATATGGTACTAGTGATAGTGATATGCCTAACTTGCCTGGGGAACCAAGAGTTGCTCTCATTTATCGGTTCTTACGGTACATAGGCCTAATGATTAATATCATAATTTTACCTGTGTGAACTTGACTTCTGGTGCTGTCATGTTAATGCTTTCCTTGTTGGGGATCGAATGTATTAAGTATGCAAACCCACTTTCCCTGTAGTACAACCAACTCCCTGGTACAACCACGAAAGGTATCAAAGAACAAGAACGTACTAAGATAAGAGTCGCATCTCAATCTGAATACATTGCGCCCTCAAGTTCGCTCTGTTACGCAAACTTTAAAAAAAAACAAGACCGTATTCGACTAGTCGTTCTTCGTTAAATCACGCCAACCTGCGCATTTGGTAAAATCCATAGAGGTATAATAAGAATACTAGAGCGCTAACCGCAATGTATTCGATGTTCGAAATACGCAGAACTGTGTGTGTGTACCATCCAAGATGGCTACCATAGATTTAGCCAATCAAATTTCGCTAAGCTATACACATCTAGATGTGTATAAGAGACAGGTTCAGTACAGCTAGTTACCTGTATGTTTGAAACTCGAGCGTTGCGGTGTTTGGGTGTAATGTATACGATTATAATTTTCATTCCTTGGTACTTTATTTTTGAATAAGATGCTTCACTTGGCCTCGTTTTGGCTATAATAGTTTAATAACTTGTTATTACCATGTTACTAATTATCATTAATGAAATAATAGTCAGTCAGAGGGCTTATTAATATGTAATAATATGTATACTAAGCCTGAAGGTGGCGCTTTACTACGACGGCCATCTTGGATGGTACCATAGAGATATAATAAGAATACTAGAGCGCTAACCACAATGTATTCGATGTTCGAAATACGCAGAGCAGTGTGTGTGTACCATCCAAGATGGCTGCCATATATTCAGCCAATCAAATTTCGCCTGAGCACTATCATTTTCAATGGCGCCCTCAATTTACACAGAAAGTTCAGTACAGCTATGTTTGAAACTCGAGCGTTGCGGTGTTTGGGTGTAATGCACACGGTTTTAATTTTCATTCCTTGGTACTTTTTTTTTAAATAAGATGCTCCACTTGGCCTCGTTTTGGCTACGACAGTTTAATAATTTGTCATTATCAATACTAATTATCATTAATGAAATAATATTCAGTCAGAGGGCTTATTTATGGTAATAATATGTATACTAAGCCTGAAGGCTAAGCCTGAAGGTGGCGCTTTGCTACGGCGGCCATCTTGGATGGTACACATACACAACTCTGCATTGTTCCGCCATCTTGTCAGCACTCTAGTTGTTTAATAGCTCTATTGATGGTACAC